AGAGAGAGAGAGAGAGCGAGAAACCTGTCATTATTTACTCCAAAAAAAATGTATATATATTTTTTTGTTTTGTTTTGTTTTTTTTGTTAACAATTACTTTAAACACAAAACGCTGATCTAACCAATCGCGTCGCCTTGGCACCACCCGCTCTTGCGTTCAAACCGGTTTAGAACGCGATCAATTACGGCGTTCGCGTTTACAAAACCACTCTCTTTCTGGGCGTTAATTAAGATTTTCATCACAGATCAGTTCAAACGTGCGGTCTGAAAAATAAAGCTAATGAGTTGTATGCATAATTTAGGAGTTTGTGGACATATAGCGCCATATAGAACCACACCTCATGAACCTGTCGAAACGCGAAGAGTCTCCATCCGACGCGCGTCTCGTTCAATAAAGCAACAGCGACAAGGCGCGCGGGCGTCTCTTACCTCCAGATACGCGGCCATTCTGCTGTGTTTGTCCTTCAGGTTGGTGTCGGTGGACTCATGCCGGCGTCGGTCAGCTGGAGGAGAACGGCTCGGTCTGCTCGCGTCCGGGTGAAGCGCTCGTCTGCTTTGCATGAAGTCAACGCGACGCTTCCTAAACCCTGACGTCACAATCCATTTTACCCAATAATCTGATTGAGCCGTGGCACCCATAGACATGTCTATGGTGGCACCCTGTGCTTTACCAGCAGAGAAACCGAGTCAGCGCGTTCTGTCCCAGCGCCGAATGGGTCTGACAGGGCATATATCAGGAGGCAGCAGAGTGTGGACTGACTGATAGGACTCTGTCACTGACAAATATATATATATATTTATTTTTCTTTAAAATGGAAACCTACCAGAATGCATTATCCGACCTCTTTCTTTTGTGAACGATATAAAATTACACAGTGCTGGCTAGATTAGGCTACTTGCAAACTGTAGTCCGTCACTCAGTACGTTTACATGGACAACAATACTCCGATATTAATACGATTAAGACAATACTCTGATTAAGAATCTACCATGTAAACAGAGATTTTTGATTACCTTAATCCGGCTAAAGTCATAATCGAAGTAAACACTAATCGAATTAAGACATGTGGAGTATTCCTCTTTTAGTGATGGGGAACTGAGGCTGTCATGAAATCTTGCCGAAAAACGGTTCATTGCTCGAAGCTTTTAACACAGCGTGCATTAGCGACATCTGGTGGTCGGACTTTGTTTTCTCCACCATTTCTGACAAATCATTGCGGAGCAGAGGATGGTTGGAAAAAGCATGCGACCAAAAGCTTCGGAAGTCTGTGACATTCAAGAGTGGAATCAATCTGGGTTCAATACAATATCTAATCTGATATAATCTCATCTAAATTAATGTGTGCCAATGAGACCACAACTCGTGTCATGTATAGCTTGGTCAACGGATTCACATATCCATCAATAATATAAAATACACAAACATGTGATCATAATTAATAATTGATGTGGGTAGCTGAAAAAAATATATTTTGGGTGAGCTGTTATACCCTTATGTTGTGTTCGGGATCTCTGAGACCCCAGTTATAAACATGATTAAATGTCCTACTGACAGCCCTCAAAGTGACTGAATAATCCTTTTATGCATCAGGTGGGATCGTGAAGCGCCAGTTTTTTCAAACCAGGGGCACGTTCAAGCTCAAACCGGTGCGCAACGTTTTGCTACGGTTT